TCATGTTAATATGCTGTACACATAAATTTAAATTCGAAAACAAAAACAAACTTAACATTGGTAAGACTGTATTATTATTGTGATATGATAATGCTGGCTACTATAATCAGCTGAAATGTCCTTGAACTACTGTATATATTGCTCTTTGTTAAGCAATGAACATTAACCTGGGTATCTGTTGTATGGTATCATGGGCTACAACTTGTGTATTCATTGTACGCTATCACGTACTGACCTCACCTAGTACATGCACTACATACTGACACCTGCTGCCCCTTAAGCACCTGTCACAGACTTACACCTAACTTATATATATATATATATATATAATTATATATATTATATATTATATATATATATATATAATATATATATATAATCACATCAGCAGTTTCCTACCAAGGCACGGTGGCCCGAAAAAGAAAAACTCACCATCATTCACTCCGTCAGTCTCATCAGAGGGGCGCTTATACTACAGTTATAAAACTGCAACATTAACACCCCTCCTTCAGAGTGCAGGCACTGTACTTCCCATCAACTGGAGTCAAGTCCGGCCTGTGCCGGTTTTCCTGAATTCCTTTATATATGTTACCTTTCTTACACTCCAACAGCACGTCAAGTCGTAAAAACTATTTGTCTCCATGCGCTCCTAACACGCTCACGCATGCTTGCTGTAAGTCCAAGCCCCTTGCACACAAAACCTCCTCTACCCCCTCCCTCCAACCTTTCCTAAGCCGACCTATACCCCGCCTTCCCTCCACTACAGATTTATACACTCTTAAAATCATTACATTTCGTTCCTTCCTCTCTACATGTCCGAACCACCTCAACCCCTTTTCAGCCCTCTGGATAATAGTTTTGGTAATCCTGCACCTCCTCCTAATTTCCAAACTTCGATTTCTCTGCATTATATTTACACCACACATAGCTCTCAGACACGACAACTCCACTACCTCCAGTCTTCTTGTGGCAACATTCACCACCCATGCTTCACACCCATATAAGAGCGTTTGTATAACTATACTCTCATACATTCCTCTCTTTGCTTCCATTGACAAAGTTCTTTGTCTCTGAAGACTCCTCATTACACCACTCACGTTTTTCTCCTCGTCAATTCTGTGATTCACCTCATATTTCATAGACCCATCTGCTGTCACGCCCACTCTTAAATATCTGAATACATTCACCTCTTCCATACTCCCCTTCCATTCTGATATCCAATCTGTCGTTACCTCTTTTTTGTTATCCTCATCATACTCTTTCCTATAGTCACTTTTTTTCTTCTTTTACTTACCCTACCAAATTCATCCATCAACCTCTGCAACTTTTCTCCAGAATCTGCCAAAAGCACAGTGTCATCAGCAAAGAGCAACTGTGACAACTCCCACTTTGTGTTTAACATTTAAATACATAAACTTTTATTTGTAAGACAGTCCATATTAGAGAAAATTTAGTGAAAGTAGGCTGAAAAAAAAAATAATTAAGAAAAGCAAAATGCAATAATTAAATACATGTCAAGTAGGAAAAAAAAATTCTTTTTAATATTTCAAATGGAAAATATTGGCAACAGTCATAGAAAACTAAATGTTAGAAAAAGTTGGATGCATCTAGTAATTTTAGAATCGCCAAATGATATCAGTTTTTAAAGAGGTGGAGGGGTAAGCCAGCGGAAGGATTCGGTCAGATGACCAAAAGCTCCAGTGGCGGGTCGTCATATGAGTAAGACCCGCGTCGGGAAACAACTGTCCTGTTTCCTGAAGAATCTTACTTAATCTAACCTGACTGACCAGAGTTAAGAAATATTATAAACACAGAGATGTGTGTGCTCACACATCTGTTACAAGGTTGTTAGCACACACACACACACACATGTATCCACGCACATGTGTGTAAGCACATGAAAGTGCTCCGGTTTTATTTCCTATTTTCGCTGTTGCATTTATTAATGTTTGCAATCACAAGATCCCAAATGTTGCACAAGTGTCTCATTCTTTCGTAACTTAACCTAACCGAGAAAATTGCTGTAAGACGTAAGTGAGAAATGCACTTAGAGTTTCATGAGGGTCAGGAGGACGGGTTGTCACATAAACTCTCGCGTCTTATAGTTTTTGTCCTGCTTCCTGATTAGGAAAACACTGTCACTATTAGAGATACAAACTGAAGCAGAATGAAAGAACTGGATAATCATAGATGAAATTTGACAAATCAACAGAAGTAGCACTAGAAATGATATCAGTTTGGGATTTGATTAAATGCATAGATGAACTAAATCATCAACACTGGATCATTTTTGGATTTAACTACCTTTGATGAGTTTCGAGAGTCTTACAACTCTCAGAACCCGGCCATGGGCCAGTATTGTTTTTCATAATATATATTTTTTTGTTTTTTCCGTTCATGTAGAAGCTATAAGCCCGTAAAGATTTTACTGCGCCTCGGTAAATAAGAAGCAATCTGGTTAGATCTGAGGTCAAATTTCTTAGAAGGAGAGATCCATATCAGCGTTAAGGAACCTCTCTTGAGTGGTCCAGAATATAAAAATTGGTTATATTCATAAAAAATTTTAAAGGGGTGGAAGGGTAAACCAGTGGAAGGCCTCGGTCAGATGACCAGAAGCTCCAGCTGCGGGTCATCATATAACTAAGACCCGCGTCAGGAAGCACTTGTCCTGTTTCTTGACAAACCTTAACTAATCTAAAATATATAGAACAGTTTATAAGATGAAGAATGAGACACTTGTGTAACACTTGGGAATCTTTATTATAGAAACCTTTTGCCACCAGTGGTTTTTCTCAGTCCAATACGGAGACGAACAGTGGAAGATGAGGAGTTTGAGGTAATCAGTCCCTCAGCCTGGAGTCGATGTGTTCACTCCATCAGTCTCAGCACAGTGACTCCAGGTTAAGGAAATCACCTCAAGTTTTTTCTCATCCTGTTGAAAAGTCTTTCATATTTAAAGTTGTCAGTTTTCTAAACCATTTACATTTATACTGATGCAGATTATTAAGACGTTCCATATAATTTAACTAACTTCATAATTTTTATGAAAGGTTGAGGGGGTGCACTAAACCAATAGGGGTCATACAGTACATATTCCTTATGCACAGTAACATTTATGAAGGCATTCAGGGTAGCAGGTTAGCCGGACTTGAGTCTTGGAGGTCTGAAGTACAGTGCCTATACTTGCAGTTTGGAGGGGCATCTGCACACTATTGGCAGTTTGGAGGGCATCTGAACTATATTGTCAGTTTGGAGGGCATCTAATCTGTATTGGCAGTTTGGAGGGCATCTGAACTGTAATGTCGGTGCACTTCTGGTGACAGTGATGGAGTGAATGATGGTGACAGTGTTTTTTTTCTTTTTCCGGTCACCCTACCTGGGTGGGAGACGTCCGGTGTATTAAAAAGGAGGAAATATTAATTGCATTTTCCAGTTTTAAAGAGGAGAATGAGTTACAAAAAACAACTCAGATATATTATTTAATATAATTATTAATATAATTTAATAGTTTTCTGTGAAAATGTACACAGAAATTTATGGTAGGATTAGTTACGTCAGTTTTCTATATTGTTAGAAATCAGTAGCAGTTATTTTCCGTAGCTGCCATAGCTGCCATAGCCGCCATAGGCTCCGCCGAATCCACCATGTCCAAATCCCAAGCCGAAGCCACGTCCTCCGTAGCCACCACCATATCCATCACCATATCCACCACCATGACCTAGGTTGAAGTTGATGGTCGCTCTTCCGCCTCCGAAACCACCGCCATAGCCGCCATATCTACCACCGTAGCCGCCATATCCACCGCCGTAGCCGCCATAGCCACCGCCAAAGCCGCCGAAGCCTCCCAGTCCACCGCCAAAACCGCCATATCCACCACCATAGCCGATGCCACCAGGAGCAGCCATGGCAGTAGCAACCAGCACTGCCAGAGCCACGATCAACACAGTGTATTTCTGTGTGAACATAAAAAAAAGTATTGAAGAATAACTAATCATAATGTGTGCAAAAACATAACAGGAAGAAAAAGAAGAAAAAGGGAAGAGAAGAATTATTTTTTAATATTCTTTTCATTACTTCTGATAATATTTTTTAGTAGTAACAGCAAGAGCACAATAATTATAATATATAATACAGGTAGAAACTAAAACTGGTTGTCTGTGTTGATATGAAAAATATTCGGAATGCTGTTGGAAATGCTTACACAGAAACATTAACAGAAGTATTAGAATAAATAAGATCTATCTGTCACGGCCTAATAGACCTAATGGCTTGTATCATAATTTTTTTGGATCTTTGGTAAACAACAGTTGGTCTAGTTCATATCTACAAAATAAGTATCAGTCTTGTTCTTTGGTTTTCCTTTTTTTTTTGGCTGCATTAATAGCATTATAAAATTTCTGCTAAGATTTCTCTAAGATAAGAGCCAGATTTAGAGAAATTTGAACAGCAAACTCGAGAAATAATTGACAGGTACTTAAAAAAGGGAATGTAAAGTTATGAATGATTTTGCGTGTGTCTGTGATTGACTTATGTGTCAATCAGTTACTTATATGGGAGTCAATGACTTCCTGTGTGATTCAGTGATTTCCCATGTAAATATATGAATATATTTCAGTGTGAGTCGGTGAATGACTTCCAGTGTGAATATATGAGTAACTTTCAGTGTGAGTCGGTGAATAACATGTGTGAGACTGATTTCTCGATCTAAGTGTTAAACATTCATTGTAATGTTTTGTGTAGACTTGCATTAAGCCATCAGACCCGTCACGAAGTGAGACAATTCTACAATGAGTGACCTCTTGCGTGATAGTTTTATAAATACCCAGCCCTTGTGTGACAGTTATTTTTCCATGAGTAACCAGTTCTTGTGGAGGAGAATAGTATCATATTGAATGAACTAAACCTGTGTGAATCACCATTACGAGGGAACAAGTTGTAAGTAACCAACCATTGTGCAGAGAGAATGTCCAACACACACGCTGGTGTCAGGAAGGTGACTGTTCTCCCACGTCACCATTGACCTGCCTTATATACCTACTGGGTCGCTTGGTATCCTTGAGTGTTCCATCATTACTTCCAATTTCTTGCAGAAAAACATTTGAAAGATAATTTTTTATACACATTTAATTTATATTTTGACCTCAGTGAGTAGTGTATAATATCAACCTGTTAGTTTTTATATATGATGAATAGATGTATCGAAATATTCTTTCTATAATTGTTGGTGTTCATAGAATAATTATTGTCATTTTTATTTTTATTATTATTATTATTACTATTATTCGTGTAATTAGTAGTAATATTTTGCAGAACAAATCCCATATCGACATAGACACAGAATGTTACTTTTGATAAACAGCCATTTGAAAACCTTTATAAGACCATTTTTCAGATAAGTCTTGCTTTGCAGGAGAAAGGTTGTCGGAATTAAGTTTCCAACAGCTATTTGCATTTTATCACTAACAACAACTAGAAGATATTCCAATACCATTTATTCTTACAAACACAAAATGGAAGATATATATATATATATATAATATATATATATATATATAATATATATATATATATATATATATATATATATATATAATATATATATATATATATATATAATATATATAATATATATCCCCATCAGTGAAGAATATGTATATAGAACCTTTATATTATGTGCATTGCCCTTTCATTCCGTGCTAGATACAGGAATAAACTTATTTCTCACATCTTTCTTTTTTAAGAGAAGAAAGGGATTTATCAATGCAGAAAGGTTTAATATCATCGTGAATGAGACCAGCCAGAAAGTTATTGACGAATGTCGTGATAAAGGTAGAAGGTAAAAACGATGCCTATAATATGGACAGTAATGAATACATTTGTGACTGACCAAGATGTGGGTATACACTAAGGAGTGACCAAAGTCCCACTCCAACATGCATCCAACAAAGATGTCGCGAGTGCATGCATCTGCGAATCTTGTGATCTCCCATGGGAGGATCACTGCCATCTTCCCGAGAACCGGAGTAACTATCTTTATTGTTGGGTACTTTTTCCACTATAACCCCAGTAAACCTCACCCTCCTACCCTCAAGGGAAGTTCCTAGATGTCGATGGAATCTTAATACAAGAAATTAGACTTCGACATATAACCTCACTGTTTCCTGCAGAAACAGTGGAGCTGTACTTGGGGCAGTAGCCTTATTTTCTGGAACAGGAATAAACTGCGATATTTTTTTTTTTAGATTTACCAGTATTTATTGAGAGACATAAATCGCTCCAAATAACACAGATTTGCTCATAGTTATACATAGGATGTAAGGAATTTCAACAGCTGGATTCTTCAACCTCTATAGCCACCAAATGTATCACCAAGACCACCATAGACGCTTCTAAGGCCGCCATACCCAAGGTTAAACTGCACCACAGATCTTCGCGATAACCACGGGCCACCATGCTTGACGATGAAGTCGTGACCGCCAAATCCACTACCGAAGCCGGCGCCACACCCACCTCCTTAGCCGCCACAAATACCAGCCATTGTTGACATCGCCAGAGCGGCCAGTACCACGATGAACACTACGTATTTCTACATGAGTAAGTTAGGTAAGTGCTACGATAAAAAAAACAATACTTGTGAGCCAGAATTATGGTTACATTGTGTATATCATATGTATATCGTGCCGAATAGGTAAAACTTGAGGATTTGGCTTAAATAGCAACACTCTTCTTTCCGAATAAGGCAAGTGAAAATTTGTGTATGCAATAATTTCGACAGAATCATTCTGAACCTAACGAAAAAAATATATTTAATTGTGTTTGTTTGTTATTAAATTATTGTAAACTTATCTAAAATATATTTAGTTGGATTAGGCTAAATTAAATTACGCTTGTTATAATAAGTTTAGGTAAGTTTTCTAAGATTCTTTTGGTGCAAAATTATTAATTTTTATATTACATAAATGAAAAAATATATCTTTAAACGTATAAGAGAAAATTTTAGAAAGGCCTAAATTTTAAATGAGTTCTTGCAAATTAACCAGCTTTACCTATTCGGCACTATATATAAATATATATATATATATATATATATATAATAATATATATATATATATATATATATATATATATATATATATATATATATATATAAACTGGCCATATCCCACCGAGGCAGGGTGACCTAAAGAGAAAGACCAAAGTTTCTCTTTTTAAATTTAGTAATGTATACAGGAGAAGGGGTTACTAGCCCCTTGCTCCCGGCATTTTATTCGCCTCTTGTAGTTAAACGTACTTATTAATTTTACTTATTTTTCCTGAGATATCCATGACCTTGAGAAAAATATGTTTTGATATCAATGTTAGTCCTAGTTTTTAGTTTCGTTTTGTCTACTAAATAATTAAATTAATGGTCAAACAGCTCCTAAAGAAAGGAAGGACACACACACACACACACACACACACACACACACACACACACACACACACAACACACACTCAGTCATAGAGTTGTAAGGCAGTGGAATAGCCTAGAAAATGACGTAGTGGAGGCAGGAACCATACACAGTTTTAAGACGAGGTTTGATAAAGCTCATGGAGCGGGGAGAGAGAGGGCCTAGTAGCAACCGGTGAAGAGGCGGGGCCAGGAGCTAGGACTCGACCCCTGCAACCACAAATAGGTGAGTACAAATAGGTGAGTACACACACGCACGCACGCACGCACGCACGCAAGCACATGACTTAATGTAAAATTACCTCAGAAGAATTCTTGTGCAGTAATATTTTTTTTTTCGGAGGTGTCAGCTGATGATCCCTTGAGTAAGCACAGAAGGGAGTGGCAGTCACGTCTGCCAGGTATCTACCGTGTTATGAGTGAACCCCCACCAACGGGCTGTGGTTCGTGCGTCAGTTTGCGTGTGGCCAGCAGTAACAGCCTGGTTGATCAGACCCTGATCCACCACGAGGCCTGGTCTCAGACCGAGCCGGAGGGGCGTTGAACCCCGAAACCTTCACCAGGTAAACTCCAAGCAAACGTTTGGGATACCTGCAACGTTTGAGTACCTAGCAAATGTTTAAAGCAATTAGCCACGTTCGAGTCGCCGTAAAACGTTTTAATAATTAACATCGTTTAGGTAGCAAGCAACTTAATGAGCCACGCCGAGGGTTAATTAGTGTGTGTTGACCATGGCGTCTTAGGATGAATAATTATGGATGCTGGAGTGGTCCGTGAAATGTTGCGAATAACTTGAGTGTTAGAGTCACATGAATAACAGTTGAACATGATTACTGTGCCATGAACATGTATGTCGTGAGTAATAGTGAACATAAATAAAATTTGATTCTAGACGTTTGAGGGGACCAGCACTATGTATAAAATCACGATTATTATGTGGGAACGTTTCATTCTGTTAGGTCACATTATTTTTATATTAATTATTAGATTAGTATATTATTAGTTTTATGGAGAAGAGATCATTTTGTAAGCGTCACATTATTATTATTATTATTATTATTATTATTATTATTATTATTTTATGGAGAAGAGATCATTTTGTAAGCGTCATATTATTATTATTATTATTATTATTATTATTATTATTATTATTATTATTATTATTATTATTATTTTATGGAGAAGAGATCATTTTGTAGGCGTCATATTATTATTATTATTATTATTATTATTATTATTATTATTATTATTATTATTATTTTATGGTGAAGCGATCATTTTGTAAGTGTCATTCAGTGCCTGGAGAAATGAAATGTAATTAAATATGTAAAGAAGGGAATAGTTGACCCTATTCCGTGGATCAAGAGCTACTTACTAGCATCACTGGCTTGTGTGAAATATTAAGACAACATTGAATTACACGAATAAACGACACATGAAGAACGTACTTTTCTAAAAGCAATGTTTCACCTCTTTAAGCTTTATCAAGTAATACGAAAATATCTGAGAGAAATGTCAGAATAAATGTTTGTTTTGTAACGGGTCTTCATTCTTCACTGTTGTTGACACTAAGCCATTCGGAGATGAAAATATCGACACAGATCTGTTCGTGACTTGATAAAGCCCACAGTCTGAGCGAAAGGTTGTCAGTAAAGGATCGCGTTATATTGAATTTGTGTCTACTCTTCCTTTACGTCATTCGAATGTTACTCGTCTTGAGAATGAGCAAACATTATGGAACAAATAATACACTTTAACGCAGTAAAGCATCCTGTATAAATGGCAGTGTCGCTATGTTTACAAGCTTCAACAATCAGTAAAAATTATCGTAAACTAAACGATACGTTGTCATTAACGAAAAGTGTTTACAGTGCGTGCAAGTGACTAATTGTTCCACTTTTGCATTATACACTAACCATTCCAGTTACAAGAACCATTACGTGAGAGTGAAGATTCACTTTACATGGTCACCAAAGGTCATCTCGTCTACCTTATCAAATTAAGTGTTCGCTAGCTGGTTTTACACCAGACTTATATACAAGCTCACTGCTGGATCCTTGGTAGTGTTTAAAAATATATTGACTTTCCCAGTAGTCTACCTTTACAACGTTCCAATTATTGTTTTTAGCATTATGTAATGGGGAGGTAATTTACGCATTTGAAAACCCACATAATGTCAGATTGTTTGGTAGTGGAGAAAATGTTGAAATGAGGATTGCCTTTGTTATACCGCGGTTCGCACCCCACGCCTATCCTTCTGTTTATTTATTGGCGTTGTGCCAGATAAGTGGAAAATGGCAAATGTGATACCTGTTTTCAAAGCAGGTGACAGGTCCTTAGCTTCGAACTATAGACCAATAAGCCTAACCTCCACAGTGGGAAAATTTATGGAATCAATTGCCGAGGCAGTTCGTAGCCACCTTGAAAAGCATAAATTAATCAACGAATCTCAGCATGGTTTTACAAAGGGACGTTCCTGCCTTACGAATTTATTAACTTTTTTCACTAAGGTATTTGAGGAGGTAGATCATGGTAATGAATATGATATTG